TCGGATCCACGTGGATGAGATCATCGATTTAACGTAGACTTTACGTGAAAGTTTCACGTCTTAATATTTTGGTGAGTACTTTAGAAGTACTGGGCAGTACTGGCGTACTGGTAGTACGTTATTACACAGAAAACTACTGATGCATAGTATTGACGTATACTCACCCAAAAAAAACCTTTTACGACTAGAAGACACTGCGGTCCAATCGTCACCCGGCATAAAAAAAATTATTTTTATCGAACGTTTCGTACTATTTTCGAACTAACGTTGTTTTTTAAGATGCAGTCTATGCGTATAAATATTTTCTCGTATTTAAAAACACATATAAAAACACACTTACCTTGGTGGGCGTTGAACTCGGGACTTCTAGATCGTGAGCCAACTGCCTTACGTGGTAGACTACTTCTTACGTTGATGTAAGTGTTATATATAGTCTACATACGTCCGAACTAGCGCAAATATATACGTTTTCAAAAATTATTTTAAGAAACAACGTCAATTTAAAAACTGATTATTATTATAACACATAACTTTTGTATTTTTACGACATAGTAAAATTCTTCACGTTTAAAATGTCTCACTATCATTTTTATTACGTATTCATTATAACGTTCTATTTAGCTATATTACGTGCGCGTGACAACATCACGGTCTCCTGAGATTGCGAACGTATCTGTCAGCAGAACAGTGAAAATATCTACGCAAAATCTACATTGATACTACGCGGATGAGATACTTTGCGTTTATCGATGGAAAAGAAACGTTGAATCCACGCGACGAAGGTACTTCGCGTTTGGCGATGGAAAAGAAACGTTGAATCCACGCGACGAAGGTTCTTCGCGTTTGGCGATGGAAAAGAAACATTGAATCCACGCGACGAAGGTTCTTCGCGTTTGACGATGAAAAAGAAACGTTGAATCTACGTGGCGAACGTACATCGCATTTAGCGATAGAAAAGAAACGTTGAATCCACGCGACGAATGTTCTTCGCGTTTGACGATGAAAAAGAAACGTTGACGCTACGTGGCAAACTCGTGGATGAATCTCCATCCACGTATTACGTAGCGTCGACGCAGATGCGACGTACCTGTTTTACTGGGGGTTGAGGCGTGCACAGTGAGACGACGCTCGCAAAAACCACGACGAAGAAGAAAAAAAACGTAAAGACACCAACGTTAACATTTGCGAAGATTTTCGACGACGCGTATATATCTTGACGTCGAACGAACGATGCTTCGATCGACGTTTCGCATTTCGTTTTTTTTAAAACAGATCTGCGAAAGTATGACCGTTTCGTGACGACTGAACATCTAGTACGTCGCGAAGTTACTTTCTAAAGACTCTGCCGAAAGCCGAACTGCAACGCGGAGTTAACGGCTTCGCAGAACTTCGTCGTAGAGTTCAAAAAACATCGTTATTTTAGTTTTCAGTCCCGCAAGTACTCGTATATTGTACGAAACCGATACCACCGCGTTGACTCGTAAAAAGTTGTTACCTCTACGTTAAAAGTTAAAACAGGAAAAAACGTAGCGTAGACGGACGTAAGCGTTGCTCTACGTCCGTTGCGAGGGCGAAATCTCTAGTTTTTAGACCTCGAAGCGTGTTTTGCTGCCTTCGTCCACCTTTTATGAAAAACGTAACGTTAAACGTCTGTCGACCGACGCAAACGTCCACCATGAACAGCTCAGCAAACGCCGTTCACGCTGCGCGAGTAACGATAGACGAAATATTTCGTCGTTTCTTCGAAAAAAGGCACAAAGGGGACGCGCGACATTCGTTAACGCGTGCTCGTTTTCACGGCCGACGTACCGCCATGTTTTCGAATACCGACGTCGATCAAAACGATCGTAGCGACGAGTGAGACTCGTTTCACGACTTGTCACATCGTTTGTAACGTTCAGACACAAGAAGCGTGCTCTACGTTAACGCCGTTGTTCTCTTCAAGGGGTTGCAAGGAGGACGGGGGAAGAGAAAGGAGAAAGTATAGAAAAGGGAAAAGGGAAGATTGTTCAGGTTATAACTAAATTCTCACTCTGGTTCCGCGTCGCTTACCGTACCTTTCAAAAAAATAGTCACAGTTAACTACTTTTATTCACACACTAACATTGCAAAATAAATAACATTAAACATATCAATACATAGATTATGTAACGTAATATCAGGATAGCAACATTAAAATAAATGAACATATGAGTAATCGTCTACAATGCACGTTAAAATACTCTTTTGTTAGAATCATGTCATTAATATAATACTTATTCGGCAACGGCGATGGTCGCGATTGCCTGCCAATTGCAATATGCGATTGTAATATGGCGAACAGCCGCCCGTTATTAATACAGAAATACCGTACGCATCGGAGAGCCTGATTATTGTTTTCTCTCCTTACCGTACCTGTATAGGTGTGGAGTGTAATGACGGGTGGAAGGATATACCGCAAGCCGGGCACCTTCGCAAAAACGGACAAGCGTGTTGTCGACTTGTCGCCCTCTCTCTCTCTTTCTGTCATAAGTTGCTGCCCACTATCGTACGCAAATAAGGTACCGGCAAATACTTGTTGCTGCCTTCTGACTGTACGCTAGGTACTTGGCAATGGCAAGGTGCCCCTTGTAATGCAGGTTGCTGCCCTTAGTCGTACGCACGGTACCGGCAATTCCAAAGTAGTCTCACACCACTCACGAGACGACCACACGCTACGACTCGACCGACCATGATGCGACAAAAGCGCGCCAGAACCCGTGTCGCTCGCTCCCCCGCGACGACTACGCCGCCGCGGAGCTCTCTCAGTCGATAGATTACCGTCGCTCAATCCTCGACGTTGATAACAGCAACCATTTCCGTAACATTCCTGCCCGCCTTCGACAAGAGAATTGTCGAATACGTTGGGTCAGGGTCCGTAGGTAGGATACACAGCTTGGCTATAGGTCGTTTGTAGGTGGACGTTGAAGTTCGCAGGGTGACGACTCTGGTCAAACCATCGGGTCCAGGGTGTAATTGGGTGACCCTGGCTAGAGGCCACTTCCCAGGAGGATAGCGCTCATCTGTAATCAAAACTAGTGAACCCTTTTTTATTTCGTTAGTAGGATGGTGCCACTTAGAGATGGCCTGATATCGCTGCAAACACTCCGAGGACCACCTCGTCCAGAAGTGTTCTACGGTTTGGCGAAGTAACTGCCAACGAGTAAGTCGTGACAGGGGCTCATTAGCTAGATTGGGTTCCGGTATGACAGTCGGTGCGTGTCCCATCAAAAAATGCCCTGGAGTTAAGGCGGCATAGTCGTTGACATCGTCGTTGAGCGGACAAAGAGGTCGAGAGTTTAATACGGCCTCAATCTGTATAGTGATAGTGGTCATCTCCTCATAAGTAAGGACTTTCTCCCCTAGGACTCGTTTCAGGTGAAATTTAATTGATTTCACAGCCGCTTCCCATTTTCCACCGAAATGAGGAGCAGATGGAGGGTTGAACCTCCACTCGGTACCGTCATTAGCCAGAAGGGAGGCGATGTCACCAAGTTCGTGAGAGGATTGTTGAAATAGACGTTTCAACTCAGCGTTGGCTCCCATAAAATTTGTACCGCAGTCACTCCACAAGATGGAGCATATACCTCGTCTTCCGCTAAAGCGTTTGTAGGCAGCTATAAACGCTTCTGTAGTATAATCCGTAACTACTTCGATGTGTACGGCAGATGTCGCGAGGCAGACGAATAAAGCCAAGTAGCCCTTGTAGGACTTTGCTGCCCGCCCTCTCCACGTCTTCAACGTCACGGGTCCGGCATAGTCAAGGCCTGAATGGGAGAAGGGCCGCGCTGGGTTCACTCTTACGGAGGGAAGTTGGCCCATTATTTGTTTTGCTCAAATGCCGCGGTACCGAACACAACGTCTGCATCTTAATATGTGGGATCGTATTGGCGCCCTTCCGCCAATTATCCAGAAATTCTCACGCAGGAGGCTCAAAGTCACTTGGGTGCCTCCGTGAAGTGATCTTCAATGACGAGCGTGGTCAATGGTGACCTCCTAGGTAGAATAAGCGGGTGCTTGGCTTCCATATCAATCTGGGCAAAATGAAGACGGCCACCTACTCAAAGCAGACCGTCCCGGTCGATAAATGGAGTGAGTCGATTCAAGGAATTTGACTTCGGTAACCGCTCTCCTTTAACTAAGAGTCGTATCTCCTCGTGGAACCATGTTCGTTGTACAATTCGCACCCATAAATCACGGCTTTGCTGGATCTCAATTGGATTTAATGGATAATTAGAAGGAGAAGACTGAGGTACTTTACGCAAGCAGTTTACAAATCGGCGACACGTCGCAATGACACGCAGTAATCTAGTAAGAGAGGAATACTTGCGTAATAGCTCCCAGTATGGAGGCAGACTTACTAAAGCAATCATAACATAACCAGGACGCTCCTCCATATCTATGTCTGATGTCGATCTGTATTCCGTGTAAGGCCAAGAAGTTTGCGATTCGGATAACCATTTTGGTCCCTTTCACCAAAGGTCAAGGTGGAACAGTTTATCCGCTTTTAGGCCTTGTGTTGCAAGATCAGCGGGGTTTTGTTTGCCCGGTACGAAACGCCACGATCCATTGGGCAAAAGTTCTTATATGGCGGACACGCGATTCCTAACAAAATCCTTCCAGCGCGATGGGTTAGCAGTTATCCACTTAATCGTTGCCTCTGAATCTGACCAACAGAATACCAGTGTTTCGAGCAACTCGAGAGCTTTTACCACTTTTGCTATTAATCGCGCTAGGAGGAGAGCTGCAGTAAGCTCAAGTTGCGGAATGGTGAGCCGCTTAAGAGGCGCAACTTTGGTCTTTGAGCACACCAGTTGTACTGAAAATGTATTGTCGCCATTCGGAATTCTTATGTATACCGCCGCCGCCATGGCTAGTTGAGATGCGTCCGAAAATCCATGAATTTCAATCCTCGAAGTATCGCAACGAAGAACACCGAGCCATCTCGGTATAGAGAGGGGTTCGAGCTGTAATAGTTGTTGTCAAAACGCAGTCCATCTCTCTTGTAAAGTGACAGGAATCAGCTCGTCCCATCCAGTCTTCAACAGCCATAGCTCCTGCAATATGATTTTCGCTCTTATTATAATAGGCGAAATCAGCCCTAGAGGATCATACAACTTGGCTATGTCCGAAGCAATTGCTCTCTTCGTGAAGGTGATATTGCCTGGAACTGTGGAAAAAAAATGCAGAGTGTCAGAAAATGGCCGCCATACGAGACCCAGAAGCTTGCAAAAGGTAGGATCGATTTCTATGTCGGTAGGTCCCCCTTCTTCCGAGTTAGGGAGAAGATCAGGATAGTTGCTACTCCATTCATGCAAGGAAAATCCTCCTGCTTCGCAAAGCCCCTTCACTTGCTGTATAATATCCTTAGCTTCTAATGTCGTATCAGATCCCCCATAAATGTTGTCGACGAATCTGCCTTTCTTCATAGGAATGATCGCTTTAGGAAAACGATGACCTTCCTCTTTCAACAATTGCTCTAGAGCTCTCAACGCCAGGAAGGGTGCACATCGTAATCCGTAAGTCACTGTGGTAAGGCAGTAGGCGAGAAGCTGTTGTTCCGATCCGATCCATAATTTCTCAGTAGGTTCCAATCGTCCTAGTGCACAGCTATTTGACGGAACATTTTAACTATATCCGTAAAGAAGAGAACCTTATGGGTACGTATCCAAAGCAGAATATCGCATATGTCAATTTGAAGCTTGGCACCGGCGTGTAGAATATCGTTTAGCGAGAGGCCATTGCTGGTAGGGCTGGATCCGTTAAAAACCACCCTGAGTTTCGTGGTTCGATTATTCTCTCGTAGTACCCCATGATGGGGGAGATAATTCACCACAGAAGTCTGATCGGAGGAGGCGTCAACCTCTTTCATGTGACCCATCTTCAAATACTCCTCTAGAAAGTTTCCGTAAAATTGTTGAAAAGTACTTTGATTTGAGAATCGTTGAAACAGGTTCTTAAGACAACCGAGAGCCTTTGCTTTAGAGTCCCCCAAAACCGACGGATTGATTTTTAGAGGGAGGCGAACCACATATCTGCCCGTTGCATCTCGTGAATAGTCGTTAGAAAGTGTCGTTCGCACTCCTCTTCCTCCTCAGTTAACTCTGCTGTAGTCGACTTAGGAATTTCTTCTTGTGTCCAAAGTCTGGAAAGAAGATCTTGTAATTCTTGATCCGGTGAACAATGATGTGCATGTGCTGAAACAGGTGTCTCGGCTGCTGACATAGGACCACAGAGGACCCATCCGAAGATGGTTTGCTGCGCCGTAGGCGAGGAAGAATCGCCTGGTATCATGCCTTGTCGTATCACGACATGAAAATTGTCTGATCCTATTATGACCTGTATTGTTCCAGAGACGTAGTATTCCGGATCGGCTAACTGGAGTCCTGAAATATGAGGCCAGGTTGGAGCACTAACGCTGCACGATGGTAACTTCGCCGTAAGACGTGGCAATATGAAGGCTCGTATTTGACATTGTAACGCTGAGTCATGAATGGAGTGCAGTTGTATGAAAACACTCCCTTTTGTATGTCCGGAATAAGTGCCACCAATTCCGAGAAGCGGTATTGATGCGGCCGTCCTAGTGAGTTGGGCTTGTTGCACTAGATCTTTCGTGATGAAAGATAACTCTGATCCCTGATCGATCAATAAACGCACCGGATGGAAATCCCCATTACTCTTCCTTACCAAAGCTCTACTCGTCGCAAGTAAAGTAAGCTTTCTCGTACGATTTGCCTGTTCGGTTTGGTGTGCACATGTCTTTAATTGTCAGTCAGTAGTTACTGATGGATCTGACTTCTCCTCAGATTGATTGGCCGGTTTTGCCGGCGTACTAGTAGGTGTGGTTAAAATTTCTCGTTGATTCTCGTGAAGAGTCGTATGATGCTTTTTCCCGCATTTTAGGTATCGCGTCACGGAGGTGCACTTCTTAACTAGGTGAGGTGCGAGGCAATTGAAGCATCTTTTATGTCTGATGACAATCTCCTTACGCTGTTTAGCCGTCTTCAATTGATAACGTTCACATTTTGCTAGATAGTGCGATGATCCGCATAAAGGGCAAGCAGACGCTGCGGCATGCGCCGCGACCTTTGATAAGGTTTTCCTGAAGTGGAAGCAGCCGACGTTCTTTGAGTCATATTTGGATTGAGATTCTCCATAGCCCGTGTTCGTCCAGTGAGAAATTCCTCAAATTGTTCGAGGGTTGGGTAAGTAGTAGAGTATCCTTGCTTAACCTCCCACGCTTCTCGTGATTCAGGATCAAGCAACTTTACGACTTGGTGAAGCAATAACGGATCCCATTTATCCACCGCACATCCCAGTGAGCGAAGAGCCGCAGTCGTCTCCGATACAGTGGTCATAAAATTTCGAAGGCCTATTGCATTCTTCGTCTTGAGTGGCTTCAGACTCGTTATCTTGTCTAATTGCGCCTCGATCAAAAATCGTGTATTCTCATACCTCGATACCAACAAAGTCCACGCAATTAAGAAGTTGTCGCCGGAGACAGACAGATTGCCTATCATTCGTGCGGCTTCATCTTTAACGCATGTTTTCAGGTAATGCATTTTTTCGACATCCGTCAGATGCAAGTTATTTTTTATCATAGAGGTAAAGGTGTCATGAAACGTTCTCCAGGTTGGGTAGTCTCCGGAGAAAATCGGCAGCTGAATGCGCGGTAATGCACTGCGTGGCAGTTGCGATGTGGACGCCCCTTGTTGCGATGTGGACGCCCCTTGTTGCGGTGTGGAAGCCCTTTGTGGCGGTGGAAACGCCCCTTGATCTAAAAGCGACGATCTGGAATGTCGATCCGCTGTATCGAATTCTTCTAGCTGGATGAATAACATGGCACGAGCATAAACATAGAAGGCTTGACAGCGTTCGTATATGCGTTCTCTCAAGTAAGAATGGTCTCTCAGATCCTCGCTGGCGGATAGGCATAGGTTTTCATGCTCTTCTTGAAATTTATTCCAATTCTGCTCAAGCATATCCAGGCGAGCACTGATCAGATGTCGATTCGATCGATCAGCACTCATATTGTCTTGATCCGTCTCGTTCTGTATAAGTGCAAATCGACTCCGTTGCAGAGCGATCCGTCCTTCCATATTTTCCATCTTGCAATGTAGAATTCAGCGTGAAAACA